AGAGAGAGATTTATTATTAATTTATTTTATTATAATATTAATAATTAAATTAATGATTAAACTAATTTCTTACTGTTTTTGTCTATTATTATTATTAATAATTATTTAATTAATATTTATTTAAATACAAAAATATATTTCAATATAAAATATTATTTTAATTATTTAATTAGTTAAAATTAATCTAAAAATATACTAATATTATAACATTTTCAAATCACCTTTAGTTCAGAAATATTAAAGTATTATTTTTAGCTATTATTTATATTATTATTATTAATATTATTATTATTTATTTTTAAAATATTATTATTTTAAATGATTTTTAAACCTATTTATCTTTATAGTTAAATCTTCACAAAAATCGTATCTTTCCTTGTTTTAAAATCCGCTGCAAGACGCACAACACCTCGTTTTTGAGTGTATTTTGATTCTGCATATTCTGGAATTGGTTTTTTAATTTGAAAAATTTTGGGTCTGTGGCAATTTATTTTCAAAAACAGTATAAATAGCAATGTTTAAAGATATTAATTAGCGATTGAACTTCCGAAATTAATAACTTTGTCGTTTTAAAGTCCGCTGTCGACAGCACAGCACCTGGTTTTGTATGTACTCGAATTCTGCATATTTTAAACTATTTCCAATATTGAATTTTTGTCGGTATCTCCTGTTAATTTCAAAAACAGCAAAACATACTATTTAAAAATATTATTCTATTTGTATTTAAACTTCGGAAATTCTTATCTTCGCACGTTTTAAATCCGATTTTTGCGTATACCCCTTCGTTCTTTCAAGAAGAGCGAGCTTTAATGTTTAGGGGGGGGGGGGGGGGGGGGGGGTGAAACTGTTTCCAGCCCTCCCCGGAATTTTGGCTGTTTTGATAGTTTTTTCTATCTTGAGCAATATTTGATTATTAAATTATTATTTAATTAATATAAATAATATTTTCCCAAGGATACAAACCTATTTTCAATACGCGTTTGAAACTTCGATTGGGTGATCAGTGGGTGCTCCCTAATACTTAATGTATTAGGAATTGAATTATTTTTAATTATTTTATTTTTCAAAAATGTATATTTATATTTTATGAGTATTTTAAAAACTATTTTAAAGATTACTTAATAACAAATTCTAATCTGGAGACCGCTACTTCATGAAATTTTAGACATGGATCTTATGTGTGAAGAGCAATGCATGGGGGGAGTGGGTTAGTGAATGGTTGAGTCCGCAATCATTCACTAATCCTTTCTTGTAGTGTCTGTCTTTTTTTATTTTTCGGTAGAATGGCATGTATAGGATGCACCAGAGCACTTAGCCTAGCTCTCCTAGATCTAAGGGACATGGTGTGTTATTTCATTTTGTACTCCCATAGCATTTATACGCTTGAGGGTTATCTAAAACCGATTCAAACCATATAGAGTGCACCTAAGGACAATAATTAAGGACTCGCTAGCGAACTTAGAAGTTTTCTAGGAACTAGGAGACCCCAGAAACGACATGAAAAACTACAACACTTAAAACTTAGTGACATCTAAAACATTCAGCTGAATTTTCTAGGAATTTTTTAGGAGCTTTTAGACCCTTAGGCTAACTACCCCTAATTAACCCGCTAATTAAGGCCCCGAGACCTTACCGAAAATTACAAATAATAACCTTAGGCTCAGAAATTACTCCATGATACCTCAAACTGACCAAAGATCCTGATTCCTGACCTTAGATAAAATAGGGTTCCCTAGTTTGAACCTCAGGTTGACCCCTAATTTGACCAATAGGTGGAAATTACTGTTTTTGCCCCTAATAAATCATTAAAAAATTAATAAAAATCCCAAATTTCTCCAAATACTTTGGGAACACTTTTTCCTGGTCATCCCTGAACCTTTGGGAGTGATTCCAATCAGTTTTGGAGCGATTTGGAGCAAAACAAGAAAAGACTATTTAGTAGGAAATTTAGAAAAATTCAATAAATACCCTACCTTTAGAAATCCATAAGCTAATTGTAAGAAAACTCCAAATTAGGTAAACTCAACTTGCTTAGACTTCAATTAGGAGCTAGTATTATTAAAAATTTTAGGTTTCCAGAAAATGCTTAGATTAGAAAGTCAACTTTTTTGTCAAGCCGTAGTTCATTTAGGGCCCGATACTTAGGAAAATTCATAACTTGGCCTAAGAAACTCGATTTCAGCCATACTACCTGTCCTAACTACTCGTATTAAAGGTCTCAGTATTTCCTAAGATGTAGAAATCTCAGACTTACTTTTTCACATAAGTGACTTTTTGGACCCTTAGCTTAGTTTTCTAGGATGACCCTAAGAACTTTCTTAAAATTGACTAATATCACTTAAACTTTAAATATCAGTACTCTAAGCTTCTAAAATTGATCAACAAACTGAAATAATTAAAATAAACTCTAATTACTGATTTAATACTTGAATTCCAAGCTAAAATATCCTTTTCAGACCCCAAACAAACCTGAAACTCTAGATAACTTTTAATTAATTACATTTAGGGTCTATCCAAACAACACGCAGCCTTACAACACACATAGAATTGTTTGCAGGGCACTACTTCTAGACCTATGTAGGCCGCTGGGTTTATTTTTCTGCTGTGTGCGGAGCCTTTTCGAAGTTTTCACGCATGCTGTTATGAAAAATTGATTGGTATGTTGCTTACTTTTTCTGCACTCTGGATGTGAACGCTAGACTTACCCATAGGTTTAGTAGCGCCATAAATATACACTGTTCTTCCGTGCAGGTGGCCATGCTCAATGGCTAAAAAAGGGGGGGCACCATTTATTTTTCTAATATTGTCTTGTGGGCTTGCTGGTGCTATTGCTCAGCCCCTAAATAAATGAGGGCTAAATAATAATTATAATTGCACAGTGGAGCTGCTTAGCCTCAAAATTAAGAGCATGGCTTGGCACAGGGTCATGGTGTTTAGCACTTTTTATTTTTCAATATAAACTGCTTGGGATGATTATGTAGGATAACCTTGCAGGGAACTTAGAATTTTCCTGCTTTTCAATTAATGTAAAATTCTGTAATAATTGTTAAGAGTTTGTGAAAACATCTTGAGTTGGGATTATTCTTATCCAACTGATCCCAAAAGAAGAAGACATCCCTAAAGGGGAGAGTCCTTCTTCCAATTTGGAATGACTGAGTTGATGGCTTTAGGTATCCAAAGAGAAAAGGCAAGTTGTGATGCTCCCTATCAAGGGGGTAATTGTCTCTTCGTTTGGATATTCAATGCCAACGACGGGATCCAATGTGAGTCCAAGGAGAGATTTCCAAGAAGTCCAAGGGGAGACCCAAGGAGTCCAAGGAGGAGAAAGTATCCAAGAGTCAAGGGAAGACCATTCCAGAAAAGCTAAAGATTGAAGGACCAATTATCCCACTCAAGTTGTTGGCGTCTGTCATAGGTTTAGACAATCCGGGTTGTTGGCAGTGGTGCCCGGCCACTTTACTTTTCTGCTACCCTGGTTGTAATTAAAGGCAGTTGGCCTATGTGACATTACTTGATTATTGATCTTATAGTTGATTGTGTTTACCTGATTGCGCAGTAAGAAATTGCCCTGCATTTTTCTAGGTTGTTTCTTGCATGCGCTTTGGTTTTCGCCTGGATCGTATTAGGCTTTCATTAGGATTATAAACATTTTTCTACTCGTAATTAATATTTAAAATTTTAGGATTTTAAATAATATAGAAATTTAATCAGAACTAAGGGAATTGCCTTGGAATTCCGTCCGGGGTTCGCATGCATATTACTTGCATTCTTCTCTCCTTCTTATAAATGACATTTCGCCTGCGGTTGAGTGCCGGATAATCCTGGCCTATGAGGATGAAGTGTCGGACCCTAGGAGACCTCAGTCCTTTTTTCAAAAAAAATTCATTTTCTTAAGCCTGTTTTTAAAGTTCTATAACATCATTGAGCTGAACATTTCATTACTAGCATCATTGCATTAGAAATCAAATTTAATTAAAATTTATTGGCAGTTAGCTAAAGCATCTGACCCACATATAGTCTGGACTACTAGGAAATTCTCTAGATGTCGGTCCTATTTCCAAAGAACTGTAACCACCCACCCCATCTTCATAACTGGCTTGACAGCATGGTTTTAAATCGATAGGTAGTTAGCTGGCTTTCGCCGCCAATCCATGGCCGGGGTAAGTCCCAGGTTTGCATAGCAATTAGCTAGGACACTGGTCTTAGTGTGTGTCCGAAACACTAAGTCCAATCTAGATTTTAAGGGTCCGATGGCTACTAAACTCGGTCTCGTAGTATGCTCTTAAATAGTAGGTAGGTCCTTCTTTCAAGGGAACCCATAAATCCTACTTATCCGCGTCGACAGGGTGACGCCACTCTCATCTTTCTCTCACAGCATGTGAATTGATTGCTTTGTCCTTTCTTTCTCCAGTTTCTCTCTAAGTACCTAGAGCCTCGAATGCTGGTATGAGCCACGCCATGTTGACTGGCCTTTTTGAGACCTTTCTTTCCTTTGAAGTTAGGATTTCCTAGTTCTATCCCTTGTGCCCTAATCCCATTTGGAAAAAGATAAGTATGATCTTAATCGAGAGTTTTCTCTCGGGGCTCCGGCCGCGGATGTATTGAACCACGGGGGCTTGCGCCCGTGGGAAACTTGGCCCCGCAATCTACTTTACCGCCACTCCGATCTCTCGTATCGGGTGGGGGAAACCCGTGACTAGGTTCGTGTATATTGCTACCGCATCGGGGTTGCTGGCGATTAGCAATCTATCCCCCAATGGGTCAGTCGTTATGCGCGATCCAATCTGCCACTCCCATCGACTCGTTCGTGGTCGAGTGTAGAGGCCTACGATCGTTTTGTCCCACAGGGATAATGCGGCCGTACCCTCTGCGTTCGAACCCCCGCGAGCGGTGCTCCTTCGGAGGTCCACACTAGCGAACTAAGCATCACTCCGACGGCTCCATAGCTCGATACAAAGCTCGCCTCGTGGCCTTGGGGAATCATCAAGAGTACGACATCGATTACAATGAAACGTTTAGCCTAGTCGCTAAACTACCTACGATTCGAATTTTGCTTACCGTCGCCTTACACAACAATTGGCCAGTGCAACAATTAGACGTGGCAAATGCTTTCCTACACGGAAATCTACAGGAAACGGTGTACATTCATCAACCGAAAGGCTTTGAAGATGCACAAAATCCTCACTACGTCTGTAAATTAAACAAAGCCATCTACGGTCTAAAGCAAGCACCACGTCAATGGTATAATACTTTCACTTCGTATCTCATTTCTTTAGGCTTCACGCACAGCAAATCAGACCCATCATTGCTTCTACTTCGACAACAACAAGTTAATATATATCTATTGATATATGTTGATGACATTCTCCTGACGGGCGACAATCCGGCTGCAATTACCGAGCTTCTCAGCAAACTAAACCTCAAATTTGCCATGAAGAACCTTGGGGATGCACATGCCTTTCTCGGCATACAGATCCGAAAGCATAATTCTCAATACTTTCTATCCCAAGAATCTTACGCCGTGACTATTCTTCAACATGCCAATTTGCTCGATTGCAACGGGCTAGCAAGTCCGACGTGCACTAAATTTCCCTCAGACTTCGGCCAAGACTCGCATTTGTCTGATCCCAGAACATACAGAAGCATTACCGGAGCTCTTAAATACCTCACACTAACTCGCCCGGACATAGCATTTAGTACCAATCTTCTATCCCAGCACATGCATGATCCCGGTCCTCAACATGTCTACATGCTCAAACATCTTCTGCGATATATCAAAGGTACGCTAGATTTTGGATTACCAATTACAAAGAGTAACTTGATCCTTCGTTCTTTTTCAGATGCCGACTGGGAGGGGGATCCAATATCCCGGAAATCTACATCCGGATTTTGTTCTTTCCTCAGTGACACCCTCATATCCTGGACGGTGAAGAAGCAACATACGGTAGCACGCTCATCGACGGAATCAGAATACCGATCGCTAGCAGCTCTCACAGCGGACATTATCTGGCTCAAAAGAATCCTCACAGATTTCGGCATCCCGTCCGATCAGCCGACTGATCTATTTTGCGATAATACATCAGCTATCGCTCTTGCAAATAATCCAGTTTTTCATGCAAGAACGAAGCACATTGAGATTGATCAACGTTTCGTCCGCGATCACATCACAAATCATAATATTCGTCTTCTACCCATAAGCACGGTTGATCAAGTTGCCGATATACTTACCAAGTCGTCGCTGTCTACACCAAGGTTTCAGCAGCTCATAACCAAACTAACCGTAACTTCGTAC